TCAAGAAATCATGTAGTAGTTTTTCTCCCTCAATCTTTGAGCGCTATGCATGTTGTGAACTCCTTATGACAACCTGAAGAACCTATCTGCACTTTCATTGAAAAATGCTTTCATCATTCTTCCCTGTTAATGTTTGTTCAAGTAATGATAAAGAATCAAATAAATTAAACAAAATGTCAAACCATGTTAACAAAAAATTCATTTCTAAACAAACATTTGAAAACAACTTCAAAAACCCATTCAATGGTCTCCTTCTTTAAAAGGAAATGTGACTTAAGAACAATCTAATTTAGTGTTTTTCTTACTTCATTATTACAGGTATCCAAAAAAATACCTTTCCCCAAAAAGCTATGCTTGATTTTCTCAAAAAGAGAAGTTATATTGATTTCAACTCATATGGACAAACAACAGTCTCCATTTATATTTTAATTGCAATCTAGAATCTTGATTCTTTGGAACTTCTGGGTATCAAAAGAACATTATGGTGCCTCTCTCCCGTAAAATGCACAGAGTCCCAAATTTTGGTATGCAATTTCGGCGAGTTCAGAGTATTCCAGAATCTTCAGTGGATCCGCCCACCCCCGTTAAGAACTCTAGTGATGAAGAGGAGGTTTGTTTCTATTATTACATGTTATGCATCTTTCGAAAAGATAGTCTTTCTTAATAAGACCTTTAACTCTGATATTAACTGGGGAATCAGCTTCCCTTCACAACTGTCACTACTTCCTAGCTGCCATCCTGACAGTTAACAGAAAATTGAGAACTTCTTACCTCCGAGAAATTAACAGCCAAAGGAATGATTCCAGCCACGTAACATCCCACCAACATAGCCAGAGACAGCAGACTAATGGAGATGAAATCATCCATTCTGCCCTCCTTTATTCACCCACCACCAGACTACAGATTCTCGAGGCTTCGAAGAGTGCTTAGGTTCTTAAACGCGTGTGGTTGTTCAAAGATAACAAGTGGACTTTCAGTTCCTTGGTCCTCCCCACCGGCAGATGTGTTCACGAGGCACTTTTCTCTTGAACGTACCTGGAAACAGCCCCTTTTTGCTAGTACTAGCACCAGAGAGAACTTAAGAGCAATTTTAGGTCCCTGCCCGTAAATTTTCCGATACCAGTCACTGGATTCCCGTGGGATAACAGATGAGAAAAGTCAATGGGAAATATAAGAGTGAGCGATTTCTTCAGTCGTCGGAATAAGGGTAGCACAATGGGCCTACTTCCTCCACGAACAGCGTTCCAAACGGCAGCAGAAAAGGACGAAAACCCAAGCGAACTCGTTCGTTCTTCCAGCGGCCCTATCTCCCCGGGGCCGCCCCGCCTGTGATCCTCAGGCTGGTCTGGGACCAGCCCACCAATCCCGGCAAACTCTCTTCCGAGTCTAGAATGAGGAAAGGAATCCTGCAGATTTCTAACGATGGGCCTTAGGGGTTCAG